CCCACACCCACATCCACCCACACCCACACCCACATCCACCCACACCCTCCACTACACCGGAGTTGATACTAGCCCATTTTGACGACCTGTTGACTCTGTTCATCAAAGAACTATATTATTTTGTTGTCCATCACCAGTCCTCTCGACCCTCAAATCATATTCAAGTTGCGATGGTCCTCTTAGATAAAATACCGACCAAACGATTTAGTCTAGCTTCGCCGAAAACATTTTTCGCCGAAGATGAATTTCGCCGAAAAATAATTCTCACCGAAAGAAATCTCACCGAAAGTGAAGTTCGCCGATTCTATTATCGCGAATGAATTTATCACCGAAAACAAATATAAGTTGCAGCTAATTGGTCTTATAGACAATAATTATATTTTAGTTAATTAGTCCATAATACCAACTCAGATGGTTATCATGCCGATGAAATCTGTTCTTGGTTAATTAGATGCCACTAGAAAAAACTTCAGATGTCTTAATTTGTACGAAAACGACTTGTGGCGTCGATATAGCTTTTATGCTTTGGTGGAGATTAATAGTTTAGACTTCGTCATACTAGTGAAAGAAAACAAGGAATAGTGAACAAAAGTGTTGTACATAAAAACTTTATATCGTAGTTTGGTTTAACATTATTCATTTTTGGAAGGTAAACGATTTGGTAACCATCTGAGTTGGTAACCATCTGAGTTGGTAACCATCTGAGTTGGTAACCATCTGAGTTGGTAACCATCTCAGTTGGTAAGGGTGTGGGTGGGTGTGGGGTGTGGGTGTGGGGTGTGGGTGTGTGGGTGTGGGCGTAGGTGTGGATGTGACTATGGATGGAGTGAATAATCACACTCACACTCACACCCACATCCCAACACCATGAGTCAAAATTTTTACATATGTATTTAAATATTCCTTTTATTTTCTGTTTCACGGAAGCAAAAAAACAGTGACCACATTCACTTTTCAAGATAGTCAATGTTTTGTCGTGCACAGCTTCTTATAGCAGACCAATGCAATATTACAATATGTTTCTAGTAATGATGAATGATTTTCCGGTAATGATTTCGACCTAATTGTTATTGCTATTCCGTAATGCTTTAATGCTTTATCATATTCACCAATTTCATCATAAATCAATCCAAATTTACAATATACAGTTGCTAACAACGGATCATGCGGTGGCAGCGAATCCAAAAAAATTCTCAACCCTGTTTCATAATATTCTAATCCTTTATCATATACACCATTTTCCTTATAAAGTGATCCAATATTAACACAAGCAATTCCCACTGATGGATGAAGTGGTTCCGTCGATTTCAGTTCAACTTCAAGTCGTTTTGTATAATATTCTAACGCTTTATCATCATCATCTTTTTCACTATAAAGTGATCCAATATTAGCTTATGTAGTCACTAATGACGGATGATTTGATGATAAAGACATAAGTTCAACTTCCAGTTCTTTCTCAAAATATTCTAATGCTTTATCATATTCACCTTCCTCTTTGTAAATTGATCCAATATTACTATATGTAGAGGCTAACATTGGATGATATCGTGCCAACGAATTTACTTGAATATTCACTGCTTTTTCAAAACACTCTAATGCCTTATCGTATTCACCTTTCTTCAAGTAAATTAATCCAATATTGTTATACGTAGTACCTAATGATGGATGATGTGGTGATAGCAACTTCAGCTTAATATCTATTCCTTTTACAAAATACTCTAATGCCTTGTCGTATTCACCTTTGCCTTTGTAAACGAATCCAATATTATTATAGGTAGTTCCTAACAATGGATGATTTGGTGATGGCGAATTCAAAAAAATCGTCAATCCTCTCTCATAATATTGCAATGCTTCCTCATATTCATTTCTTGCTTTACAAAGTGACCCCATATTAACATATGTAGTTGTTAATTATGGATGCAGTGGTCCTAATGACTTCAGTTCAATTTCGAGTGCTTTTTTGTAAAGTTCTAATGCTTTCTTATATTCGTGTTTTTGAGTGTAAACTGATCCGATATTACCATATACAACCGCTAACGACGGATGATTCGGTGGTAAGGGTGGGTGTGGGTGTGGGTGTGCATGTGGGTGTGGATGTGGGTGTGGGTGTGGGTGTGAGTGTGAGCGTGGATGTGGCTGTGGCTGTGACTGTGAGTGTAGCGTGTGGGTGTGCGTGGGTGTGGCTGTGGGGTGTGGATGTG